GTTAGTTGTAATATTTACAAGCCAGTCATTTTCTTTTTGAAATGCCATTTTATTATTATTCTTGAATAACTATTATATTGTCAATACACAATATCATCGTTTAGAATTGATTCATTAAGAGTTAAATTTATTAATAACTTTTTCATTGATATGTCAAATTAATTTTAATCTGATGTTTCTTATACTTTTTAACTTATTATAATCATTAGCATTATATATAAAGCTAAAAATAACTAAAACATCAAATATTCTAAGAATAAAATAGAATGACACCATTGAACAGCACGTTCGATGATTAATGAAAGAAAAAAAGCATAGATCACATTACGATCTATAAATAATCCTGTATTTATCTTTAAAAGCTTTCAGATAAAACAAAATCATATCATTTGTAAAAACAATACAGTAATACCAACTAGACAGTAGTCTATGTCTACTGCATGATCACGTCGTTTTGTTTTTTTTTTACTGTATATCAATAAAAGATATTCTTAAAAAGTTATTTACATCATTAATGATACTTATTATGGTAATACAAAAAAACTAAAATAAAAAACGTAATAAAAATTGTTTGAATGATCTGTAAATAGCAAAAGGTTTATATCAAGAAAAAAGAACTTGATGAACTTTGTCGAAAATAAGATCAGATCTTAGTAAATGCTCGTCGTAAACATGATAATCTATTAAATCATCAATAACATCAACAAGATTTACATATGGCACAAACAAAACATTTACATTTCAAAATAAATATATATATCTTAACTATCAATCAAATAAAAGTTGTACTAAAAACATTAATTGTATTTCGATAACATAATTCAAAATGAAAAAATTTCTTTATGAATCAAATTTAGTTTGAGGTTAATATGATTGAAAGTCAATTTTAGTAATGTTGCACTCAGTTATGAAACAGCTGATTAAGGGAGAACTTATCACATATGTCGAATTGACTGAATTTTCAGTCTGAAAAATCGAATTGGTTGAAAGTTCAACATTAAAAAGCACGAGAATCGAACACTTACCCAACGTTTTTTATGACGTCTCACCTTTCATTCTGACAAAAACAGACGAAAATTTATTTTACTTCATATAACCCTTCCTACAATCCAGAAAAAATTATTTTTTCAAAGAAATCTTTTCTCCTGAACCAAAAAAATTCAATTCAAAACTTAGAGAAACTAACTTCAGATTCGGATTCTCCGGCCCCGATTTACTTTCATCAACCTTTATAAGAAAATTCATCTTGGTTTGGTTTTTTGACCTTGACACAAAGCCACAAATAAACTATTTTTTTTCATATAACCCTCCCTACAGTCGAGGGAATATGAAATAATACAATGAAATTAATTCTAAATATATATATCTCGAGTAAATATATACAAAACTGTAATTTTATTATTGATTGAAAAAAAATGACGAACATTTATTTATTAAAGTTCGTTGTATATTGAAATAAAATTAGATATTATTAAAAAGATTTTATCATTAAATAGTTCAACATGTGTTAATTTAACAAACTTCTTATATATAATAGAAATCATTTTCTAATTATTGCTGGAAAAATAACTAATATGAAATAATCATTCAATAGTAATGCGTTATATTGTTTTTAGTAGTATGAATGATATATTTAACAGTCGGAATTACCGAGTTACTGAGAATCAATTTTATCGTTTCATTATTATAGATACGATTTATTCGTATTCTTTTATGCATATAAGAAACGACAATATATTCAGTATAGAATTCTAATGATAGGAAAAAAATGATTATTCTTTTAGAATTCACAAATATTTCACAGAACTTAGGATGTGATGATTTAAAACTAATAAATGTAAGGATCTTTACAAGCTACTTTGTCTGTATACTTTAATTAAAGTGTCACTTTTTATATTTAAGACATAAATATTAAAAAATTAATTTACTTCATTCAATTTTTTTTTATTTACAGAATTCCATTTTATCTATTTCACAACACAAAAAAAACACTCATATAGGAGCCTTTTTTTTCAACAAGAAAACGACATGAAAATTATTATTTAATAGAGATGCACCAAGATAGTCTCTATTGAATATGAAAAACAAATAACAAGTTACATACGACTCATACCTATATATAGTAATGCAATTGTATTTAATTATCAAAGTTCACAATTATTAATTCGATACGACAAAATCGTAAAAATGAAGTTTATGCAATTAGCTCTCTACGCTATTGTTGTTTTATTTTGAAGCTATATCACAGGTGTATTGAGCTTAAGTTCTTTGTAATAATCGATATTAGTCAAACGATTTTCATCGCTTCAACACTAAGTAACTGATCGTACTAAACTTAAGCGTCACACTCTATTATTCAATCAAATAGAAAGACAAAATGTGAGATATATATATTCGTTACATGATTAAAGAAATGATCATCTCATATCTACTTTTCCGTTCATGAGAAAAGATCATAATTTCTTTTGATCTTCTACAAGTATCAATCAAAGCTAAAGTGAAATCAACATAAAGATTAACTCCATAGGATATAAATGGTTCGCAAAAGAAAAAAAACTATCAAACATAACTAATAGAAAAAATAATGAATATTGAATTAGTTTCAGAACGACAATATAAAGCGGTGAATAATATTGCTGATTCTTATCATCGTCATCGAAAAATATGGCAAAATATAAAAAGTTAGAAGAAAATCATTTATTTACAAAATATAAAAAATAAAATATTTTTATTTTTCTAGATTTATTAAAAAGTTGTTTTCATACTCAATCTAATCATCGTTTATTAAATCATGATGGTACACTTATTGATATAAATCATTTACAACAAAATATTAATGATGAAAAACAATCATCTAGAAAACGTCATATAACATGGCCATATCTATTAAATATTTATTCACCATCAATGACTAATTCAGATAAAAAAAACTATCAAAATCAATCTAAAATTCGTTATAACAAGTAATATATAAATATACATAAATTAAATATATATTTTATTTTATTATATAAAATAAAGATTAAAACAAAAATGGCAAGAACGTGTTTCTCAACGTGATCCATTTTATATAACATTAGCTGATAAAATATTAAAAGATGTTTGTCGTACTGATCGACATATTAAATTTTTTAAAAGTAAATTTAATTAATTTTTATTTTCTTATATATTTATTTTATAGCTTAAATTATTTTAGAAAAGAAACAAATATTATTTAATATAATGATGACTTATAGTGTTTATTATCCAAATCCAGGTTATAGTCAAGGTAAATATATTTGATAGTTTAAATTTATTAATATAATATGATTTTACAAAAAAAAAAATAGGTATGACTGATATGTTAACTCCAATTGTTTATGTATTTAAAGATGAATCTATAAGTTATTTTGCATTTTGTTCATTAATGAATCGTTATATGAATTCACTTTTTGATCGTGATCAAATTGAAATAAATTATCGTATTCGTTTATTTAATTTAATATTACATTTAATTGATGAACAACTTTGGGCTAAAATAAATTCTAATGAAGAAAATTCTTTATATGTTTATCGTTGGTTATTACTTGATTGTAAAAGAGAATTTTATCAATTTAATCATGTTCTTCGTGTACTTGAACTTGTTTGGATTAATTCAATATTGAATATAAGTATTTCATCATCAATAATAAATAATCGATCATTATTTACAATTTTTGTTTGTATATCAATTTTACAAGAAGATCGTCAATTAATATTCTCTTATACAAATGAAGAAGATTTACATAAATATTTTTTTTCTTCATCATCATCATCATCAAGATCTCATCGTTCAACTAAACGAATTTTACAACGATCACAAATAAATTATTCAAATTATATATTATCACAAAAATAAAACTTTAGTTTTTTTTGTTTTGTTTTGCTTTTCTATGTACATATCTTATTAGTGAATATAAATAAAAACCATGCTTCATTGTTTTGTTACAAATTATTAGTTGAATAATCATATTTGCTAATTGATTCAAATACGAACTAATACTTACATATATCGGAGTGCATAAGTTTCAAGAATATGATACTAATATATATGCGATAAATACTTTCAGCATTCTACTTCAAGAAGTATAGAAAAATCTTATTGATAATTTATTGCAAGGTAGAAAAAACATACTTGTACTTCTTAATATTTCTTCAAACCAGAGTTTTATAAAGCATGAAGACCAAGAGAGAGTTGATACCTCTCAGAAAATCGAATTCGCCCTTCCGAAACTCATATGCATTGTATGATATATTATTGTTTGCTCTGTTGAAAGTAGATATTTCATTCTTTTAAAATATGAATCATTCTACTAGAAGAGAAAAACACTGCTCCACATTTCTCTATACATCATCGTACTTCTTTCATATATCTACGTTCTCCTGTAATTGTTTTTTTGTATAATTACTATAATGATTTTACAGAAAATACTTCATTTTTCTACACAAATGTTGATATTTTTCGCTTGATTTATTTTCACAATTTATAGATGAACGATATTTCTAACGATTAATAGTACACAGAAGAAAAATTCTTACTTTTTGAAAAGATCAACAAAGTATAGTTGCCATTGCTTTGTAACGTCACCAAACTATATAGATCTGATTTTTTTTATCCTCTCATTGAACGTTGCGACAAAGTCAAATAAACACGAGTTTTTTAACTAAAAACGTGTCCTAATGGGATCTCCAAGAACTATTAATTTCTTGATTTCTTTTTTTAAACAAAAAGTTCAAAATTTTCTGTCTTGTTCATATAATCTAGCATAGAAAAACAAACGATATTACAATGCATCCGAAAAAAAAAGACTAATGCCTTTGCTTTGATATATTAATATTATAACAAGGCATTTGAGTCTATATGAGTAAGAAACTTATTCCGACTTCAATAAAAGAATAAGAAAATTAATGCTTTGTTACATGTATATCAACGTAATCGATAAGTTTTTATTTTATATCATAATGCAAATAAACCATAACGTTTATCCATCATTACCACGTTCTATTGGTCGAATCAAACGTAAAACAAAATTCATAATTGTAGCAATCATAGCAACGAATAAAAAAGCCTAAATAAGAAAATTTTTTGTTTTTTTGTTAAAACAACAAAATTTCAAATAAAATAAAATCTTACCGCAGCTGCAGCAGCACAGCCTGTATTCCATACCACATTAATAGGTCCTATTGAAGCATCACTCATTTTTTTTCCCCATGCTGCTGAACAACATCTATTCATTAGAAAGAAAACAAACATATACAATATAGCAAAACTATATCAAATAATAACCATCTTACCCAAGAATAAGAAATATAGCAGCAAGTACAAGCATTATAAGTGTAAACTAAATTTAAAAAAAAAAGCAAAAAATATTATTATTGTAATTGACTATGTTTTTTTCTTACTTACAATTAAATCAAATTGCTTTGGTAAACGTTTAATAAGACCAGTTATTTGAAGAAAAGTATCAACAAGAATAAGCAATAGGCCAACAGACGCAAAAACAAGAATTGCATTTCGTGTATGAAAAGCACTAACTTTGGTGCTGGATAAACCAGAAAGATGATCTGCTGTACGTGCATCATCAGAACTAGCTATACCAGCACTAATCAGTACACAAACAAGTGCAATCTATGATATTCACATAGACATTATTTGTTCAACGAAAACTAAATATTTACTTACAATAATGACAATATTTAATATTCCATAAATTGATAGGAAAAAACGAATACAAACATCACGTCTTTGTTTTAATGTATTTTTAAATCTAGTTGTTGTATTTGGTGAAGATGTTTCATAAGATGGTGGAGCAGCAGACGATGATGGAAGACCACTTCCGACTGAATATTCTATATTAACACTATCCATTTTAGATAAGATAGATCAATTAATCTATAAATAAGAAAAAAATCTCATATTTATTTATTGGAAAAAAAAAACTGCATATACATCATGTCTACCTAATTTTACTAATCAACATGGAAATCAATTCTATTGTTATTGACATAATGTATATTGATAATAATTTTACGAGAAAAAATGTTTAACAAATGAACACTGTTCGACTTCATATTATGATTACGATTGAGTTTCAGCTGAGATTAAGAAATTCAAGCTCATGACTTAATGACAAAAATTTTGTGGACGTTTGAATAAAATTTTTATTGAGAGCAATAGATTTCCAAAAAAATTCAAAACGAAGAATTTTTATCTGAAATTTTTATATAGATACGTTTTAACAGCACTTTATCATTAGAGGATACAGTCATCAAGTGCACTTGGATATTTCGAAAAATACATGTTCATTTTTGTTGAAACTTTCACAACTATTTAATGCTTACTAAATGTATCCATGAGACAAAACTTCAGCTCGAAATTGTTTGTTTTGGATTTCTCGGAAATCGCCTTGCTATTAACAAAAATTACATTAAAAATTTCATAAATTGTCGTCAGTACATGATGAGCTCGAATTTCTTTGTCCTCCCACCGAAATATACTCGTGTTCATAATATAAAGTCGAACAATATTCGATAGTTGCACAGGTTCTTTCGTTAGATTATTATTAAACTATAAAATACAGTCAATTACATTCTTCTATAGTAATACATATTTTATTTATTGTTTTTTTTCCTCCTTTTTGTTTTTTTCATATTACAAATAAAATCAACCACGATAATATATTTTGTTTATGTTTATAAAAAATATATGTAATTAGAAAAAAAGAAAAAGAAAGAACTCATCTTCTAGGAAAAAGGTCTTCATATATTACTTGCATTTTTTCTTCTTCTACCATCGAACAACATAAAAACAAAAAAACGAATCGATCATCGTCCAATTTGCTCGTTTACGTTATATATAGACATTTTTATAAATGCTATCAACCGTTCTGCTTCGCTTCATTGATCATGTACGTGTTGCATCAAATAAACATGACGGCGAGTAATAAAACTTTCACGACTATATTGTATGTGTCCAATAAAAATAAGAAAGATAACTAAAATTATAATTGCGACATTGACAAAAAACAAAACTCAATATTTTAAATTTGTTCAAACAATCTAATCATTTTTAACGTAAAAAAAGTACATAATGCAACTAATGCATTAAAATAGATTTGTTGTTATGAAAGCGAAACAAAAAAAAAGATTATCATTCATTAGCATTGATTTTCTTCATTCGATGAATAATTTTATATTTGTTTTTGCTAAGATGTACATATTTAGAATGTCAATATAATAAAGTAATTCTTTTTATTTGATGAAGATTAACTGTTGATAAACTTGTTGTTGAAATTTTATTACGTTATATCTATCGATCTGATATATATTTATTCTAGATGGTTCAACAGAAGAATTTATTATTTGATGATAAATATTCTATATGATAGAGCAATTCAAATAGCAGGTTATTACATGATACCATAGCAAAAACAAAAGAAAATATTTTTTAAATTTAATTATTTTTTTATTCATAAATTATTGTCTGATTAGTTAAATAATTCTTTATTTATGAAAATCATGAATTATTAGGTTTGAATCGTGTGTTTTTCTTTTAAGTTGTATATTTATGTCAAGCTATTTTGTAATTATTGAGAAATTACACTTCTTTTTAGAAACATTTGTATTTCTATCCAATATGACTACCTTGAAAATGACAAGACATTACTTCTATGTAGAGAAATAAGTTTGATTTCAGTTGTCATATTGTATGTCAATTGATTTAACAAAATATTGCAACCATTTTTGAAAGAATTCTTAAAAGGCATGAAATCTGCCTACAATCTTGCTTTTACGTTGTTTAATTAGGCTGAAGTTTTTTCTAGAAGTATCCATAACTAAGTCTTCGAAGTGTTTTTTAGCTTTTTTCTTGAACGAATTATTTTGATAATATTAGAAAGTAAAAAAAAAACGTTTTTATTTCTTTATATGCATATAGAGAATGTCCTAATCTATGATCATTGTTTATTAGAGTTCAATTAGCTTCATACTCTCAGTTGGACGTCAATTATTGATGGATAGCAATTAAAACATTCAGGCAATACAGAAATACATGTTTATTATAGACTTGTGTTTTTCACTAAAAATATGCTAAGGATAATGTGATTATGAAATAAATTACTAAATTGTAAGCAATTTTATTATTGAAGTCTTTCAATATGTCAGAAAGCCATTTCATATGTCTATTCGCTAAGCAGACCATTTTTCTATATATTTGTTGATAATATTTGTGTTACAGTAGACATGATTTTTGACGATTGTGTATCTCAAAAATAAGAATGAAAACAATGAAAAATTATATCGAAAGACTTTTTTGTCAAAGTTTCGTAAAAAAATACTCTTTGACATTTGTAAATTCACTATAAACTACAAAGATCTGAAACTGTATAACTCTCGTTACTTATCTTGTTCTTTCTTTTGTTGATTTCTCATTTCTTTCAACAGATATAAATTTTAATAGACAGTTTCAGTTAAGATGATGCAAATATTTAAAAAAATGTCTATTTGAGTACTGAAACAAAATAGAAGCACAAGTGTCAAGTGTAAATAAGATTGCTCTTCTAATGATCCGATAATTAATAACTGGAAAGAAAACAACAGGTCCGAATTCTGTTTTTTGTAGGACAATCTTCATCTCGCTATAATATTATATATTTCTGCGATGATATGCAGTTGATTGATTAAGAAAATGTATAACAATATTGATTAATGATAAAATTCTATCGAATTATTTTCTTTTAGTTGTTTTCTTTTCTTTCATTCTGTTACACAAAGAATTTAAGAGATATGCAAGAAAAAACGAGAACAAAAAATAAATTTCATGATTTTAATTATTAGAATGAATATATTATATAAACAAAAAAATAATTAGAAAATTACAATTTCATTCAACTTAATCAATTTTCAAAAATATACTATTTTGTATTTGTGTAAAAATGTTAAAAGCAGAAATGTATACAATCCTATTCAATGTGTCATATATTATTTTGACAAGTGACACTAAATCTATAGGTGTTTTTATATAGTCAACGTCATCGATGAAATAAATGATGCTCTTTAAGTCGTTATTTCGTACGGATCATTCTGTTCGAAATTGTTTTATTGTCTTGCGGTACACCGTTACACAATACTATTTATGTCTATTAGCTGTTTTGTTTTTCTCTTGCCTTTCCCATGTCTTACTTATCACTCTCATTTTTTATCTTCATTAGATAGAAATCAAGAAGAAGAAATAAAGACAGATAACAACCATGAAAATGTTATTTGTAATCGTCGTGTATCATTTATCATAGTGTGGATGTCATTGTTGATGAAAGTCACTATTTAATGATAATTAAAAAACCTCATGATTGCAAACCTCTAAACAATCATAATATTCTATATTCCATTTTGTTGTGAACAATAAACGATTAGTCAATAGTAAAGACTTGATCAAATGATGTTAATCATCACTTTTTCAATCTAAATTTTGATTATTGAAACAGTCGTTTTCTTTTCGAAAGAAAAACAATCGAGTCGTCTAATAAAACGTATGTACTTAGAAATTACTTTCGAGCCATGACGTCCTTCTTTTTATTCTGACTTTCGCATTTATAATGTTTCTTTGAAATTATGAATGAAATTTTTCTCAATATGAGTCGAGTTGAGGGGCTCTTTGCACTTCGCTAACCTATGATTGAGTATAAGAAATACCGAAACTTACTTATTATTAAGGATTCATGAATACTTTCTTGTTATTTTTATTTTGAAAATAAAATCTCGACGTCTGACAGTTCGATAATAATTTCAATCTATAGAACAGTTATGTGAAGGCAGGTACTGAAATTGAGCTGTCTGAAAAACTTTTGTTCACAGTAACATAACAGTATTTTTGTGTTTTCAGAACGGAATTTTCAGCTACAGAATAAAAGTACTTGAATAAATTTCTTATGAATGCTGTTACATAGAGATAATACGATATAAATGGCTAAATCATCTCTCATCACTTCAAAAAGAGCAAACAGTGATCAAAAGACACTATTAATAGAAAACACGCGGCCTCATACTGTTTAAGAAAATTGTCTTACACGAGACTATTAAAATAAAAAATATCATAGTCCTACGGTGACATAAAATAATACTAATAAGAAAAGATGATTTATTGGTTGATATATAAAAACATCAAATATGATGGAATTTATGTTTTATAACAAAAAAATAGAAATGCAACTTCTGAAGACCTTAGTATTTTATGTAATGTCATATAAGAGAATAAAAATATTTTTAAAAAAAGATTCATCATATTCGATTTTGAACAAATAAGTTTAGCACAACATTAAAAGGATAAAAATCTGTCGATGTACATCTTTATATTCTAGATTGTTTCGTTCACAAAGCCATTTCGGACAAACGGTTACATCGAAGACGACAGTAGTAACTGATGTGAAATTGGTATGACGAATTAAAATAGATTGAAAACGCTTCATATTTGGCTTTTAAGGGCTTAGTAAGAGTGATGATGCCTCGATACACGTTGACAAGTATTATTATTCAGGCCTTGCCTATGGTAGCCCTAAACTTAAGTAATCACAAATCATCGGAACCTGTCATGTTAGCTTCATTTCAACAGAGTAGTAACATACAATATATACATACATGCATATTGATACCTAGTGTTTGATGAATCATCATCCATTTCTTAGAGTCCAATGATTTAACATGCCTATGCACTTTGAAATATACATCTATTTTGGATAATAAATCTTACACTAATAAACAGCAATGTTGAATGTACTTTGAAGAAAAATGGTTAGGCATTGGGGTTTCTGCTTTATCTGAAGTCTGGCTCATTCAATTAGATGTATAGAGTATAGCAATATGTGTTAATAATAATCCAAAGACGATTGTCGACCATTAGAGTTTATTGTACATCCATATTACCATATGGCAGCCTAATTTGATCTATATGTGAAGAGTATTGGTAATACCAAACAAATTTTGCGTTCTGTAACAGGCAATGCTAAGGTCAAACTTGAACTTTACGATTATTCTTTTCACAAAATAAATTTAAGCAGATCTATTTTTAGGGTGTAGATGTTATTGAGAATATAGATAATGACCAAAACTCACACACACACCCTGCATCCAACTTCCAACTGCTGAATTGTGTCATGATTGCTATTTGAGGCACTTTATACAGTTCAGGAGTCGATACTTTAACTGATCGATTATATAAAAGTGCTACAAAACAAGCTGTATCAACAGTTGCTTATGTCAACAAATCATTCAGATAATCCTTTCTCTTGTAATATTCGACATAATTGAAAATACACACTCAACATGCACTATACTGACTTTTACAAGAAAAGAAATGCACATAACGACAGAGTAATCCAAAAGTAATGGAACATAGAATTTTTTTGACATCTTCATTGTACATGATTGGTTAAACATAATATTTACAACACATATACTCGATGATACTAGTAAAAGATGTAGCATAAGATTAGCCGTTTGGGTGCAGTAATTTATTCAAAAGCATACAAATAAATCTTGTTGTTTTTCTGTGATTGTATGAATAATTCAATACTATTCGTAGTCTTCGTGAAAGAACAACAAAACTCGAAAGAGGTGAACAGTCGATGAGCATAATCGATTATTACAGGAGTTATATTTTTAAAATAAGCGAAACACATTTCAATTTCTTCTAATATTTAACTTATTTTTGATAATACTGCACGAAAATATTTATTTATAGAGCAAGTCTTATTATAATTTTTCTTTAAGAGAAAGCATTTCTTATTTGCAATGCTATTCAAATCTTTGTTTTTGTTTCACTGTCATTTTTCTTTTCAAGAAATATTGGACAAAGACAGCTCTTTTTCTCATATCTAAGTAAAATGTAGAGATATTCTTTTACAGAATTTGTTATTTAATTGTATATTCATACCAAAAGTTTGAATGGATCATCTTTTGTCGAAAATAATAGCTCTGTTTTCTTAAAAACTTGCTTTTCTATCTTATTTGCATGCACTTATATAAAAATCCATGGCGAAGAATAGCCAAAGATATGAGGATAGACATAAATTTTTCACATCTATAATGTTAGAAGAGCAGCTAAGTAATTGCCACAGCTAAAAAAAACCGATTTGAATTGTCTTCGACAATATAAGAAATCGAACTAAGCTATGAAAATGCAGTATTTATACATGTTGTCAAGAAGATCTGAGTTTTCTTATTGCATATAATCTAATGTATATTTTTATACTACGGATTCTTACTACTGAAAGACTTTTCATTTAATGTTTTATTTTAAATTGATGATGCAGATCTCAATATCAAGTGCAAGAACGTTTCCTCTAATAATTTCACAATGATAGTTGAAGGAATGACTCATGCAAGTGTTTTCAAAATAGGTTCAAATTTTCTTTGAAGCACCTGATGATTATATTACCTACTCTAATTTTGAATATGATGGCATTCAAGACATAAACAGTCTTCTTCATGTGAAATACATATTGACATTGCTTTTTCCTGATGTTCGTCAATAATCGTGTTGCAAAAAGCGCAAAAAAAAATTGTATAAAATGTGTTTCTATTTTCAATTCGTTACCATCGCCATTGTCTTTCAATAACCTATTGATTGTTCGAATCGAACGCTAACTCAAAATGGTATGCATACTTCTCAACTAGTTATGATGAGAGTTCATTATTGCTTATACTATATTATCCAATAAATATATTTTTTTTTATCGTTTTGATTTAAAATTACGGACAAAAAAAAACATTTCCTATCACAATAATGAATATTTTAAGCAGAGATGTTTATTCATTATTATTCAAGCGAAAAAAATATGCATATATTATGTATTCCAAATGAAAACGGTGTCAAGAGTAGAATCGATGAAATTATCGATTCCATAAAAGAGTTATTTGAATTACTGTCTAGTCTGACAACTCAAATTATTTTTCTTTTGAGATTTCATCATTATCCAACCAGAAAGAGTCAAAATAGAGTGTGTATTTTGATTGTTGTTTGTGTTTTATTTTGATAAATACTGAATAAATAAACAATTCAATGATTATGACTCAATTACTCTCTTTAATAGTGAATGAGAAAAGAACTGTACATTGTGAGGCTAACAAATCGGCATTATGATGAAAATTTTATAGTGAGTCCCTAGATGATCAATAAAATTTAGCGCCACCTATATCTGTTTCAGAAATGAAACCCAATATGTTTTGGTCTTTCTCTCATGTGCTGCAATTTGAACTCAACTTAGTTTAAATTTGCTCTCGTATTTGATGTGAAAATACCAAATACATTTTGGAAATAAACGTCTAACGCAATATCAATCTGTTACAGCAGACCACACATAATAAGATAAAATATATACGTATGTAATATATATCTATTTGCCAAGCAATAGTACATACTCTAACTGTCTCTTTCATTTTTTTTTCTCCTTGGCACAATCTGATAGAGGACCCGAGGAAAAAAAGAATATAATATAAATCAGCGTTATCTGTTTTCTCAAAAGAAGATTCATGTTAGTTTTTATAATCGACAGCACGTTGATCGCTATTTCTACCATAAATTTCTGATTACCATCTATTTAACATGGCTGTATGCATAGAAATAAATTCTACTAGTACAGATTTATATTATGCTAAAAAACTTCAATCTGAAAATAAAACTTGGGCATGGTGGTTAAATAATCTTGGTTAGAAATTGAATAGATGTATAGACTTATAAATTTTGTTTGCTTTTCTAGGAACGTTGGTTGTCTTCGTGATCGGTTTTTGTGGTAATATATTGTGTTTAATAGTTTTATGTCGTCGACGTAAGTTATTACTAACATATAAAAAAGAAGTTCATATTATTGGTTTTATTTTCAGGTTTGAGACGAAATTCTTACACTCAATATTTGATTGCTTTAGCTATTGTAGATACTGGAGCTATTTTTTCTGAAGGCATGTAAAAGAAAATATGGAAAAAAAGCATATTTTTATTATTCAACACGATATATTTTTAGCTGTTTCTGCACTTGATGAATTACATCAATTTGAATATAAATTAACACTTGTTGCACATAATAATTTATCATGTAAATTATATAATTATATAAGATATATATCTTATTCTATGAGTTCTTGGTGAGATTTTTATAGCTTTTCTGCTGTAATTTGTATGAAAATGACTTGTTCTTTTAGGATCATCGTTGCTTTAGCTGTTGAACGATTGGTTGCAATAAAATTTCCCTTATGGTCAAAAAATATATGTAGTGTTGTTAATGCTCGTCGTATTATTTTGATAATATTTTTATTTACGATGCTTATTCAATCTTATCATTTGATAATAAAAGGTCTTGATTGTTCTCCATCGCCATCATCAATAAAAGTTTGTCGCTGTAAAACAATACCATATCATACATATTTAAAATTGGATGTTATTTTAACAGTCTATGTCTGGCGACTTGCCTTAATGACACTATTGCCATCAGCAATCATCATCATCGTCAATATACTTATTATGAATAAATTATTTCATAAAAATTCATTAACTGATCATACAAATACAACCAGTAATGCTCAGCGTAAAATGAAACTAGTTTATAAAATATCTCGTATGTTAGTTATAGTTACATCAATTTATCTACTTTTACATGTACCTGGTTCAAGTTTAGATATAATTAAATTTATGTATATATCTGTTCTAAATATATGTAATGTTAAATGGTATTATTATCTTCATATAAGCCATGAGATATTTGATTTATTAACAAATTTTAATTATGGTATTAATTTTTATTTGTATATCATTAGTGGTAAACATATACGCAATGAATTTGTACGTGCTTTTAAATATTCATCATTACGTTCAAAATCTAGTACACAAAATTGTAAATATCGTCGTCGTTCAAGTTATTTTATATCGTCTTACATGCTTTCATCAAGAAACAATCAAGCACGGGATTATAATATGCCATTATCTGGACGCCGAATCAGTTCATGTCAACAACGACTTCATTATTGTGAGGAAAATCAATAAGTATAAATGTTCGATATATTTGTATGACAAATTAACAGAACACATACATTGAACAAATAAATATATGGGTGCAATTATTTGTTGTTATATGAATATATATGTATAGTTTTTTTTTGGCATATATTTGTTGCTTCTAATAACCTTTTGAAAAAGAATATTTTCATCACATGATGACAATTACTGATTGACAAAAGGGCAGAGTATATATTCAATAGTTATATAGGATAAATGCCAACGGAAAAGAATAAGTACATCATTTATGATTCACAATGTTTCTACTGAATAGATCTTGTGTGCGTAATAATGAAAAAAAATGATAGAAACACTTAAAACTAAAAATGAAAGCTAAACAAGTACATTGAGTGTTTGGTGAAGAGGATTCTAGGTAGGAAACTATTATTTATAGTCTTTCTCACACATGAATCATATGAAGCATTACCTAATGTTTCTATAACACAAATTTTCTAATAAAATGCCATGGCAATAAAATTTTTTATTGAAAGATAATTATTTAATAGGAATAGAATACTGTTGTGAGTCTTCTGATGCCATGAAACTATGCTATGTTGAATAGATAGTTCTCCTTGTATCTGGGATATTTTTCTCTAAGTATTGAAACAAAGAAAATAGTCTCTGGCAAATTTAAGTCGATTGTTACAAATGTTATCGGATAACGTTCTACAGAAATTTGAACCATAAAAAAGAAAAATAGATTAACTTGAAATTCATACAATTTCTTGAGTCTACGTTAAATTCATTAATTATCAGATCTGAAGAATCAATGATAGCAGATTTCTTTCAAAACACTCCTATTAATCAATTAAACACATGCATGTGTATACATATTGAATCTCTTATAGAAGTAACATGAACTTATGTCAAGAAATATAGATCGTTTCTGGCTGAAACACTCGTGAGAATAGTAGAAATTTGAAAGCAAGAATTCAGTGATCAAATTCGATGACTGAGTCTATCCGATTATTGTTGGTTACGAACAGAACTAGAAAAATCCAACTATCGCCTTTCCGCTTTCACGTTCCTACGATTTTTCAAGTGTTGTTCCTGATAATGACGTCTATCTAGAAGAAATCTGCCGGAAATTTAAGAACTTCACCGCTGGAATCATTGAACCAGGACCGCATCAATTTATTTGATACTTACTTAGGCTAGTGGAAGTGGTCGTTATGTTAAACTGTCAGAGATTCTACTTCTCTTCCTTGCCAAAAGTATTTTTATGCCATATTTTTATGTATAAATCGGATTCATAGTTCTAATCACATTGAAAATGCTTTAAGATACATTTTTATACTTGTGAGTAATGTTGATTATTTCATCTCACTTGTTCCAAACTTCAAAGTATATTGTATTGCATAAAAATAACTTTTAGTAAATTATCTACTGACTAATATGGAATATGTGAACGCAAAGCTGCGCAAATCCAAATGCAACCTGTACTTTCACTTACTCCTGTGTTTTCATCAAGAAGATATGTACTGTCATACTCATATATATATTGAGCGTAGATGAAGAGAAGATTGTCACCCACACCCATGTGTCTACTCACAAACTCACCTACCTATCAACGCCCTCTATACCCAGAAGAAAAACAACATCGCCTTTGGTTTGATAGTTGAAAGAGAAATCTTATGATCAATTTTTTTACTCTGCAAACAACAAAAAATATTAATTTGCCTTCAAACTCAAGGCTTTTTTTCTTTTTTTTTCTTTTGTTTGCGCAACGATTCTTTTTTTTTGCAGCGCGATTTCATCTTTTCGCTCAACAAGCGAGTGTAGATGTTGAAAACCTATCGTATGTACATTTGAGTTTGTTGGCTACCGCTTTAAGCACAACTTGATTATTTCGTAGTTTCACTTGATGTTGTTAAAAAGAGCAATGTGGATGTAGCCTTCTTTTTCACGACACCCTCATACCGATAGTTACATCTTTCACGAAAACCCTTTCTGTCACTTTAGCAGAAGAATACCACGAATATAGTACTAAGCTTCATGATGAAGAGGAGATCGAAAATGTAGTTTCTTTTTCCTAAGTCTAATTGCGACTTTACGCTTTTGGATCTATGAAAATAGCGGGAGACAATTATTCAATAATTATAACTAATTTTTCATCGTCGAAGCTCTTTCATGGAATGTTTGTTCCTTCTATTCACTTGAATCGTTGAAGAGAGAGTGCAAAGTCAAGTCATCCGCTCTAGTAAGAATAGTGTCTTGGCTGAAACAGGAAAAAGCTTCTGTCTATGTTACACTTAGTCGGCATCAATTTTTTCATTCCGAAACAAACTTTTTCTTTTACTGAGTATGATATTCAGTTCAAAAACCATAGCTATGTGATAAAATGAAAAATTCAACATTACCTTTCTGGCACGACTAGAAAACATGTATATAATCTTGATGAAATAGGTTCATCGGACTTTTCTGTGGCATTCGTTTTTAGGTACATTAGTGTAAGTGTAAATGTGTGTATTCTGTCTATAACAACTATAACAGTTCTATATCTGTTTTCGGAGCCTAAAGTTAGTCTCATCCACAATCACTTATCGATGAGTCATTCCGTACCACAAGCGATAAGTCGCCGACCTGAGAGAAGTTCTAGACTTCTCCGAAATAGCAAACTTTGGTAGTGTTTTGACTTGTTTTGTTCATTACGCTTAGTGTACTCAAAGTCCGCTAAAGTAGTCAAACAGTGGTAAAAACAGCATAGATACAAGAAATAAAGATAATTATTCTTTTTTTGAATGGTTCGGCTCTATCTCTTTTTCATTCATGTTTATACGCGACCTTTAAGCCTAGTATATGTTAGCCGCCTCCACCTTTGTTATCACGCAGTCACGATAGTTTCGACATTAGCTCATGTAAATAAGTTATAAGATGATCACAGTGACTAAGAAAAGAGGAAAAAGAATCCTAAACTTTTGTAGCAATCAAGTCTTTACTACTACATCAGCTTTTTAGTTGATTGGGAGAATAGTTAGCATAATTAGCGTAAAAAGTGAAAATATCAGAAAACTTTCCTAATCGTGATAAGTCTTACTTTTCTGTGATCACTTGTCACCACTAATAGTGATGATTTATAGATGACTCATCAATGTGTACCTACTTAGTAACTAGCTCATAAGTAGTGGATTACCAGGGACAAAACAGTACCACTTTCGAAAAGCTGCAAATAGTTCGAAAAAACAGAGTATCGGCAACTATCCTGTTTTTTACTCATCCATCTATCTTGAATCTGAAAATGTCTATGTGCACATATATTTTCGCGATTCAAGATTTCTTGCGCCACTCTATTAATGTCCTATATTTTGTTCGAAAGCCATAAGTAACTTCAAGATGACTACTCATTAGCATGAGTCATTAGGAACGATTTTCTATTTACTTTCAGTTTACAATGCTATTGAATAACGGAAACGTTGTGGAAATAGCTCAGTCGATCTATACACAATGGTCAAAACTCTCTGAACTGCAGATGTGGACATTTTTCAAAGATAACTTTAAAAACATAAGTTGGTTAAAAGTGTTGTGTGTTGTCCAGACCATCATGCTATTATTCATATTACGCACAATCAAAAGTCGTCCCCATTGTCATCATCAAACACCGAATGTGAGAAAAATCCAAAGAGTTGATTTTGCTCATTGTATGACAGGTGCTCCTAATACACTCTATAAAGAGGAAGTATATACTGCTTACAAACGAGAAGTACTAGACATATTAGTTGGCGATCTATTTGTTGTCCTTGAACTTCAAAAGAACACTGAAGATAGCCATCGAAGCATGACTAAATACAATCCACAAGATAAATACAGTGTTGCGTTCGACTATCTTTCTCCATACAAAATTGAATGGATTCCTTCTGAAGATCATCTTGGTGCTATCGATGACCGGCTTGGTTACTCAAAGTGGAAGCGTTGCTTGGATCATATCGAAAAGGCAGAAAAAAACAATGACATGAAGTACAAATTTATTGTTCGAACTCGGCCTGATCTATACTTTGCTAAACCATTACCTTCACCAGAAAAACTGCCGAATGATCGCATTCTAATTAATCCATACTATGAATGTTTATATGACATCCCATCGGGTTATAATGAATCGTGGACCAAAAACTTGACTCTATGTAGTCTGCATGACCGTGGACTTTCACACCTATTTGCAATCGTTCCACGAGATTTAGCAGATCGTTACATGCGTGTCGGCTATACCGCTAATCTTCCTCTTCAGGTTTGTGGCGGACGAGCTATGGATCCCGAATGTCTGATCAAAGCAATGCTGATCAAAGCGAATGTCACATTTGAAATGTGGCCATTCATTGTCAAAATCCTGCATTCATCAAAATCTTGCCAAAATCCATCATGGAATCAGTTTGATAGCTGGTGTTAATGCTAATTCTCTCAATGAAAAGAAAAATCATACAAAATAAGATGTGGTCGTGCTTATATATGTTTTCATTCAACTGTCCACATATATTCTTCAACAGCAGACTAACTATTTACGGTGCCTTTTGTGCGATGTACTTCCAGCCAATCAGATGTTTTTAAGCTAGCAAATATCCGATCATATGTGAAGTGTGAATATGGATATAAGTGCAGATGTAGTTGTTGGTATGTTTGTACGTGTGGTATGAGTTTGAGTGTGGAAGTGGGCGTCACTCGCAGGATGTCCTGTGTATGTGAGTGTAGTTTATGTGTAGGATGTGCATGTCGATGTGACCGTTGGTATGCGTGTCGGTATTAGTGTGGGTGTGTGAGCATAAATGCTATTGGTTGAATAGGTAAAAAGAGGTATTATACGGCACATACAGTGATATCCTGATGAAGACCGATATAGACACTGACATTCACCTCCAACCTCTTACATACATTTGATATTAATATCGATTGAGCTTGTAAAGTAGTATATTGTACAGTAAGAACCGAATATTCAGTCGATGTTCAAATGAGTTGCAAGGGTGTGGATGGATGTGTCGATCTTCTCTTCGGCTACTCTC